CACTTCTTTCTCTCTCTCTCTCTCTCTCTCTCTCCCCGAACCCCACTTCTTTCTCTCTTCTCTCTCTCTCTCTCCCTCCCATCCCCCCATCCACCCCAAAATTTCGAGATTACTGCAATTGTTCATGCCGTGTCGGGATGTCGCTTTGACCCAGTAACTGACCTGACCACAGTCGTGCTGACACTAACGACTCGACCAACAACCAACGCGCGGGAGGTAGGGCTTCGAATGAATTCCGAAAAGGGTTCCAAAAATCATTATCACTCTTCCCCCCCAAAAAATTTAAAAAAAAAAATTCTCTATAACATCATAATGACCCAGAGTACTGTTCATTGAACAAATTCTCCACACCCCCATCGAAACAACAATTCCCTTTGTGCCATTGCTGCTTGTTTGTTTGTTTGAGTAAAAAAAAATAGGACATCGACACAATTATACGAGTAGTAATAATTTAGCGCCTAGAAAGAGTAAGACAGACAGACAGACAGAAACAACAGAGGGAAAGTACAATACATAAGTACAGTAGGACCTACCAGTGGCGCCCGCCCTCCTACCACCCGCTAACAAGGAGCTGATCTAAAAAAAAAAAAAGCAGCAAAAAAAAAAAAGAGCAGTAAATCAAAAACAAAAAAGCAGAAAAACAAAAGCAATAAAAAACACAGCTGGGCGTTGGGATGACCGGCTGGTACAGGTCGCGGTGACCTAGAGGAAGGGTCGAGCCTCTTGAGGTGGGCAAGCAAAATCCGGATACCTATCCGGGTAACCGAATAATTCTCAATGAAACAATGTCCGAATTCAGACTCTTAAACTCTCTTTCCTAACCCGTTTGCCGAAGTGGGTGCACCCATTTGTTGAAGTGGTTCTAACCCGTTTGTCTAAGTGGTTCTAACCCCCCATTAGCCGAAGCGGTTCATATCACGTTATTTGCCGAAGAGGTGCACATTGTCCGCATTTTACTAAAGCGACTCATTGCCCAGCCCTACGGCCTGCCGCCACCGCCACAGGTAGATAGGTGGGCTAGAGCAGGAGAGGAGGACCGACCAGGTCTGGCCGTGTGTCCAGCCCGCGTGTCGCCCACGTGACCTGGTGGTCTTCCTTTCACGTCTGCCCGACTGTTGGACGGGGACTCGAGCCACAGCCTTTGACATCAGCAGCATCCGTGACCTCTCTATTTACTCTTTCTTTCTCTCTGTTTTTCTGTCTCTCTCTGTCTCTCAGGGAGCTCTTACTAAAACAAAAATAATCTCTCTCTCTCCATCTCTCTCTAAGTTGAACCTGCTCTAACCTGTTTAAGACAATAAATACTTGTACATCCCCCCCCCCTTCTCTCTCCCTCTAAGGCCGAACCCACTCTGACCTGTATAAGACAATCACCTGTACAAACAACCACTTCCCATTCCACCCCCTTCCCCTTTGTGTTATAAACATTAACATTACACTGTGACAGACGTCCACTAGTTTAAGACGGTCACTATTCTCTTCGAAATGGGTAGCCGTCTTGCTAAATATAACATATAATTCTTTTTATTATGTTTGTGTAAGTGCGCATGCGTGTGTGCGAGAGACAGAGAGATAGATTGTGTGTGTGAGTGTGTTTGTGGGTGCGTGTGTAAGTGAGTGAGTGAGAGAGAGAGAGAGAGAGA